CTTTGATATTTACATATTCTCGCTACTTTTCATTGAGAGCTTTATATTCTTATGTCGGATTTGTACGTACTCTTTCGCTGGACTTATTGCGTATCCAAATTTTACTTACGGCTATCTAGTTTTCACGATAACAGTTATAATATATGTCACAGAAAGCATACACCATGTAAAAGATGTATACACACACCTTTTTGAAACAGTGAAGAACATCTGCATACAGATGAAAAAAGGAAAACATATCCAAGCCGTTCCATTAATTAGTTGTAATGAATGCACGATTTCTGTTTCCAAACCTTTATTTCGGTATGTTGTTCGGTTCTACAGACCCTTGAGAATTGAAATACTTTTTTCTCTACTGAAACTGACCTTCATTGTTATTCTTCTATATATGTCCATTTCAATCCTTCTCACATTTAAAGAACTAAGTAAAATGTCGACACTGACGCAAGCTATTACAGCTCTTTTTATTTGTTTGATTCCGAAACTGTGGCACATGTTTGAAGAAAAGGGAGACAAATACAAAGAAGACACCAAAACTGCCGAAATTAAGAATATAATTGAACAGTATAGCAGATGTTACATATATAAACGATTTCCGAGAAGCATTAGGGATGATCTTTCAACAGAAGATTACATAGAGCACAGCACAAGCAACAATATATCATCGGATGACGAACTACTAGAGGAGTTGTTACTCGACGTAGACATTGAATGATTAAAATTTCACCAAAAATTTAAAATATTAATGAAACGAAAAGAAAATATTTAATTCAAATCTAAGGTTAGCTAGACCGATTGTATAATATGCTTTAGGTCTTCACAATATTTGCTTATAAGTAAAACCCTTTTAAAATATCAAAACATCCAGTCTTTATGCAGTCTTTAATTTTTAGATATACGTAACAACCTTTCCCATAAAGTTAATTTGCTATAAGAAATGTTAGAGTATATTGTTGTGCCAGGTTGGTCATATATAATTTTACCAAAATCTATGTATACAATAACTATTTAACGTCAAATATGATAATTTCGACATGATCATGACGTCAAAGTAACATCGCTAATCACATTTTTGCACTATTGTATCTAGATTGTATTATCTTCTTCATTCATCAATAAAATTAATATAACTTTGAACGATATTTACTTACTTCCTCGTCCTGAATTTTGCGTGCAATATGTGTCACTGTACGTTAAGCATGTAACAATTAAACAATATTTTTCCCTTCTAGCTATTTGATTTGTGAAATGAGCTCTTATGTTATTGTTCTAAGACAATACTAGAAACTATTTCAATCAGATATGCCGTAAGACTAGACTGTCAATATATGTAATATCAATATAAAAAAACAAGAAGATAAAGTATGATTGCCAATGAGACAACAATCTGCCTGAAACAAAAAGGCCAAGCATGACAAAATTTGAAACATTTCAAAAGAGAAAACCAACGGGTGAATTTATTCTAAAAACAACAAACGAAAAAAGAAACACACGACAACAACTGAACTACAGGAATCTGACTTGGGACAGACACAAATAGAATATGACTGTCATATTAAGACCATTTGCTGATTCAATCTCATTCGTTCTTCGTAAATGAGTTTCCTGCTATGCCTTTTGTAAGTCTCTTAAACACTTTGATCTTGAGCATACAAAGGGTTTAAATAAAGGTTTATATCAGAAACAGATTCAATGTGACAATGAAAAGGAAGTTTAGCAAAGAAAGTTTAAAACCAAAATGCATGATAATTCGTCAACCTAATATGGTTCAATTTATTTAATTTCTTGAAACACAATTACCTCAATAAGGGTTTTGCAGTTGTTTATGTTCCTCTGATAAACATTAAGTTCAGTCACAGACATACAAGGTAAAGAGTAATTAAATTGATACTGCATATAGTTTTTACACTTGAAACAATCTTGAAAATACTTCTGTGTCACATCGATCTGATTTCTCATGACATCGATGATACACAATATCTTATAGTGAATATGATTTGAAACGTACTGATTTGTAACCGAAATAACCACTCAATTTGACATCAGCGACGGGTCTAGAATTTAATGGATGTATTGAATATGACTTAAGCAACACATCTTTGAAAACCTTACTGTAGCTGTCAAGTTAGAGAAGAATATAAAAAAACACTACATCTGACGAACGGTAATTTATGTTTATGTACAAATAAAATATTTTGTCATGGAAATTTATCCAATATCGTTTTTTTCCGAACTTCATCATAGCCAGAGTTTGAATCTTTTAATCAAGCAACCTGTTTAAATTCTTAATCATCTGAGATCTATATCGTGGGATTGTCAATTATCCTGAAAGTGATATATGATTAAGGGCAAGTGTTTGATGTTGTTATTTGGAAATAACTGTCCAATTGTAGGACATTTTCATTTGAAACAGAAACAAAAAGCATGATTTTTATCCTACCATATTGTAATAATATATATCTTTCGTTCAGGTCTCTTCATGATGGAACCCAACCATCGGAGCATTTTGTTATTTTAAGATTAAAACCTATCAGAAGACATAAACACCCTTTTTTCACATGAATATATTAATCGAAGACTACCTTTTATCAAATTACACAGTATTTGCCATTAATGATTGTAATGTTAAAAAACTTGCGTCTTCATACTTTGTACGTATGTTGACCTGTTTCCAGAAATGTACAGTGTAGGTTGAGAACTAGACAAAATAGATTACTAGTACATCAATTTTCCCTAGTGAACGTTCCAGTTCTATGTATCAACATACCGGCAGCATCTGTATATGGAATAGATATTTCACAGTTGATTTGATATTCCAGGGTTTGCGTTTCCTATCATGACAGAGAGCTGCGTCTTACAATAAAGCTATTGAACCGATGGATCTTTATAGTATAGTTTGGGTCATTTTTGAAAAAAAAAAAACCTTTTACAGAAACCACCACAATTTGATTGCCGGTTATGGGATATCTGTGTCACAAGAGGACCTCAGATGTTCTATATGTTGTGACCACAATCCCGTGCTTCTGTCCTAGTGTATGGCCCACGTGTCACTAATGCCAATTCTAGAGGATGAACAGAAGAATCTTTCTTTTCCCCTGATTTCAATGGGGTTCCTTATTGTGTATCTTTAATTTGCAATGAAGTATTTTATGGACTATTCATTTTAGTCTATAGCCTTTCGTATTTTTTCTTTTGACCCTGGTATTTTATGGCATTGTTTTTGATTGCCTCGCTATTTCGTCATATCATTTTTTTGATAATACAGAACCAACTGTATTTTAAATTGAATTCACAAAAGGCGTAGCAGAAAAAAAAAACGTGTCCAATCATGAAATCGGAATTTGATATTAAATAACTACAGAACTATAAAATGAAAACAAGACTTACAACTGAAAATGACGCAAGCATACTAGTATTCTTTGCTAAAAAATATGCTTAATTGTATTACATTTACAACCAAATATCCTTAAATTATCACCTAAATGTTGATGCAGTCGGGCGGGTTTTCATGAATAAAATCACAAAACGATATGCTGAAAATTCTTACATCAGGTACAAAAATCTAAGATCAGAAAAATAAATGAAGAAGTGGATTTAAACAGCTACTGCTCACCGTATGATCATTAACAACGAATGAAACCCAAACCGTTTGTAAACTATTGTTCTTTTAATCAAAAAGTAAAAAAAAAAATAAATCCAAAAAGGAGGGATGTCTATAACAACTGACAAAATCAATCGTTATCAACCACACGAACGACTGAAAAACAACTGTCATATTTTGACTTGGTACAGGCATTTTCCAAAGGAAATACTGGGTTAAACCTGGTTTTAAAGATATATAAACCTCCCACGTGTACGGCAGTTGTTTCTAGTTCCGTTTTATTGACAAAATTGGGTGAACAACCCAAACAGACATAGTAGGCTAATGTGACAATAATTGGGACCCAGCAGCAAAAACTGACTAAAAAATGCAGACAAACAAACAAATAAATCTTGATTTCAGATTTCTTTTAGATAAAAAGGGATTTATTTTTTAGAATCACATTTAAGAAGTTGGGATTTCAGAATTCATGTAACAAGATGCATATTCTCAGTCAAAATGATCGCAATTTGTTCCTTCATCTTTTAGAAGTTGTTCTAAATTCACAAATATCTAGGTATCTTTTATGTTGAAATACGATACAGTAAAGGTTCCACTACTGTCAAAATCAGCAGAAGTAAAGTTTAATATGTCATCCTTTTGACGAAAAGTTTGTTTGCGTGTATGTATTCAGTCATATCTGGAAATTTAACAGAGAACATATGATATTAATTTCTTTATATAAACAAAAAATAGGGGACAGTGACATACATTCCTACCTAGTAACAGGTATATATTACTTTACATTGCTAATGATCATTATTGTTTCTATTCACTATTTACAGTATTTTCATACTTGAAATTTCTTATCCGATTTGCCGTTAAATGCAATATTAAAATTATTTAACGTCACTGAAACTATCAAGCTAACAACACAAGTTAAACAAATAAAAATAAAGTGTGTACCAAATTTTCTTTTGCCATGAAAAGGGATGGACACCGTATGACCAATTCTACAGGTCCAATTGACTTGCATGACAGAGGAGTAGTATTAGAACAAACTTTTTCTGAGAACATACCTGACTCTTTCTGTTTTTTTTTATATTTATATTTTCAGTTTCTTATGAAGTCCTTATTAGTATACAATACTTTGGAATTATATATATTGCATATGATATGACGGGTTTCATAAGCGAAAATTGAACAAACTTTTTCTGAGAACATACCTGATGTGACTCCTTCTGTTTTTGTATATTTATATTTTCAGTTTCTTATGAAGTCCTTACTAGTATACAATACATTGGAATTATATATATTGCATATGATATGACGGGTTTCATAAGCGAAAATTGTAATAAATGTGTCTAGTCTACTATGTATAACCTGTTCATAACTTTTATTGTAATTAATAAGCCAAAAACACTGCGATGAAAATTTATTTGTATCTAAATATGTACAATTTTCATATAAACACGTAACAAATTATTTTGACATCATATTCCTTCCAAAATCAATTCAATTAAGGCCACATATAACCAAAAGTTGACGGTCCTCTGTTTTCGAACATAAAAAGTGCTTGCATATTCAAATCTCTTTCCAGTAATACTTTTAACTCGGAAAACTGATTACTATTTTTTACAAATATCTTTTACTTATTATTTATAAAGTAAAACATTTTGAAAAAGAAACAATTTATTTAGACTTATCGGAAAAAAAGTATTTAAAAAATACCGAACTCCAAGGTATATTCAAAAAGATGAAGTCCATAAAAACTGACAAAATTAAACGTTCCCAACCAACGGGATTAAAGTATCGTCCCTTCAGACATATACATTTGTGTAATATACATTGAAACATAGTCAGCATATTGTATTTCATGTTTTGTCCACTGCATCACAAAACAATAAACAATGAACTTAATTTTATGTTATAAAGTCTGTCAATATCCATGCAGCTATGTAGTTTCTGTTTATGACTTTTTGGTAAAAAAATAAATCATCAAAGATACCAGGCTAAGAATATTGTACGACAGACGCGCGTTTCGTCTACAAAAGACTCATCAGTGACGCTAAAATCAAAAAAGTGAAAAGGTCAAAGAAAATACAAACTAGACGAACATTGAGAACCCAACATTCCGAAAGGTTTTGCCATCAAATTATTTTTAAACAATTACCTGGTTTTGAGTCCATATAAAGAAGGCAATCCCAGAAATACATGTTTTGTCACGTGGTTTCGATATACTGTATTATATTACATTATGATTTTTAATTTTGTTGAAAAACGATATAATTAATCGTTTAAGTAAGTAATTATATAAAGTCTATCATTATAATACCTTTGATGCCAAAGTGTGCATTTTTCATACGATTTGTTTTGATAGAAATTCCGAGCTAGCTTACCCCCTTTTTGTCCTTTTAATTATTATAAATTATAAGCCTTTGTAAATGTTTGGCTTCCTAACTTTCAGTATCAAGTCTATCTAAAAAAAAGTTTATTTTAATAAAGCGCTTTGTGTGCAGCAAATCAATTATGTTTTACTTTAAGGAATACCGAATACATAAAAACAACAAAAACCACATCCAAATATCAGTTTATATTCTATATAATATAGTCCATCAGTTACAATAAGTTCAAAAACCTTAACTTTAGTAATTAATTCGAAGCGTTTGCACGTTATTGTTTAAGTTTTTAAATTGACTGCATGTGTTACGTCATATAGGTAAATGTCAGGCCACGATACCTATATACCATTACAATTGATCCTTAATTACATAATACATCGATTCTTTTGATTATGGTACAATCACTTGTCACAACTTTTGTGACTTTGAATTATTAGAACCATCGTGAATATTCAAACAAGGCTATGCCATTGAGTTGTCTGTTCTCTTTGGTTGGCCACCATTTCATTCCAGTGATCTAATTCACGTCCACGTGCAAACATAAATGAGCCAAGAATAACCCGTCCAAATACTTTATCTGAAAAGAAAAACGAACAAAAAATACCATAATGAACTCTACAGATAGCTACAGCTTTAAGAAGATACCACAACTTAACATATAACATTTCTGTAGTATTGATGTTTACACTCAGACTTTATTTAATGTAATTTGATATCCTGCAATATCATGCCTTTCCATATAATAAGTTTAAATTGTGGAATACCCCGACCCCCTCCTAAATTATTGATTCTATCCTTTTGCATTCACCATAATAAATTGGTGTAAATTAGATACCCTCATGGGTTACGATTCTCAATACTACGTGTTCTATGTAGCAGTTTTTCATAATAGAGGCTTTCTCAAGACAATATATGTATATATAAGCTTTTATTCTGTTCGTTTTAAAAAACAAAAAATAAGAAGATGTGTGGTATTGTTGACAATAAGACAACTATCCACAAAGGACCAATAGATTCAGCCGACAGTTGTTTACCGATATTCCATTCTTGTAAATCGATTAGAAAGAGCCAAATAAAGCTAACGAACAAAACTGATGGAATCGCATCAACTCCAAAAGGAGAGGGAACGGGCGAGTCGACAGGTCGAGAATCTCTTTCTGTGCATGCATCACCCGCAATGCGCATTCACATTCAGTCAAAATGTCACAATCGGAAATAGAACACAACCGTTACAAATACAGATCAAACGACAATACTGGTATCTAAAGACCTAAGATATATGAAATATGAAAAAGATGTGTATGTACATTTTTTTAAAGATATGTTCTAATAGTGGAATTATATAATAATTTGAACAAGTGCGAAAAATTACCTTGATCGATTCTAATAAATGTGTTCACAAAATCGTTTTAAGACAGTTATATTTGTGTTAAAAAAATTCGTGTAATGAGAAAGTATAATTTTGAAAAAGGGGTGTTTGTTTATAGAAAACATGAAAACTGCACACAAAAGTCATTTCTGTATTTTTGTATTATCTGTCTCATTCATAAAAATTAAATGTCCCATTTAATTTGAGAATTTAATGCTTCTTTTTGTAATTTTATTGGGGTGTAAAAGCGTTTACCGAATCTCATTTTGTATGAAGCGCACAAGCGTATACTTAAAATGTGCGCAAATTACCGCTTTCACAACTCTAAAAGATAACAAAAAGAAGCTTCAATTCTTATAGTTACATTTTTATGCTACAACTTTGAAATTTCGACCTATAGCAAATTATTGGTTTGTTTGTATATGAATTGCTGTGACTTTGCAATAAAATCTAATTTTGGAATGCCTCCAGATTTAATATTGTCAGCCAATCAAAGGTACAGATTCTTATGAAACATACATGTAATGTAATTATTCATACTTGTTGAAAAGCGACGAGAAATCGAAAACACTTTTCATTTTTATAATTCAATTAGGTTCAATTTCCAAATAAGTTACATTAGTACACATAAATAAACATCAACATATGTACATGACTTTAACATACATTCTAATTCATTTTTGCCATCTTCCTTAATATTTGCGGATCTTAATGTTGCGAAAAGGATGCCCCGGTTTTCAACTATAAAATATCAATTGTGTACACATGCTAAATGTGTTTGAAACTGCATGTAACGGATTACGATTTGATACTGAAAAAAATGCTCCGAATTTAACCTTAATGCAATTTTTATGATAGGGTCGTGACTAAAATTCTGCTCACTGATAGTCCAACAACAGGCAACGAATGAATAATAGATCAAACACAACATTATATACAATATATATATGTGTGTTACTTACCTTTGTATCCACTTTGGTGTTGCATAGCCGTTATGTTTATACTGGCAGAATCTAGATTTGAAACTGGCAACTTAAATGTAAACGATTCACTAAAGTTTGGATTGTCCGTTTTCTTGACAACTTCTGTTTTCTTACTCTTCAGTACTTTGTTTTGCACCAACAAGCAAATTTTCACATACGAATCTGAAATTTGAAAAACGAGAAGGTAATTGTCTATTTTTATGGTATACTGTCTTCCTTTTATTTGATACATTGATAAAATATGAATCATTGGGAACATCTTTGAAATTATTTCTTGCACTGGGCAAAATATATGGCGTGAGAATGTTACACAACATAAAATCAATGTAATCTAGTAATCACAATAATTTTTGTTGATTCTTATTCAAAGTAAAAAGTAAAGTTGAACTAATCTGTAACTGTGTAAATATGGTCAAATGTTATTTTGTTTCGTACAAAACTTTGAAATTATTATTCAGGAAATCAAAATGTTACAAAACAACGAGATTGGTTTAAATGCCATGTGGAAATTAAAACAATTTGCTATGTCTTCTAATGGAATGTTTTTCACAAAAACAATTCACTTAACACTTTTTTTTCTACCAACTTTAATTACCTTATCTACTTTATTTCAATATTGTTTCTAAACATGATATAACAAAGCGTAAACAACACAAACAATTAAAGTTTTAAACCATGGCATCATATGAACTGTATATGATTGGTTTCTATGATCTAACAACACAAACAGTTATTTGCAGTATTTGATGATCTTTCATACTGATTGATCTTACTCAGTTTGAAGGAAAATCAATCCTATCGGAAAATTTGTGATTACACGGACTATTTTATAGGCCATCATGTCTTATGTAACACAATCTACATATGACGAATGTGTTTTCCCCGTGTCATGTACAAGTCATTAATCCACACATAGAGTTTAATCAGGAACGTTTGTCCTTTCCCGTCAAGAGAAATAAATATATGGGAAAGTAAAAGCAATTCAATAAAACCGTTCATACAGTCACAGCAATAAATATATATGGATTACTCAGACGAAACATCCTGACAGGGTTTAAAATGTTGTCTAGCCCTTGGACCAAATCAAGAATTCCTGTCAATAAACCGTCATAAGATGTACCGAGGAAAAATTAGAATATGGGATTCGGTCGCAATTTTACCATATAAATCCAATTATAAAAAGGGTAGATAATTTACAAGATTGAAAGTAATTGCACTTGTTGACTATTCTTTTGATGAATTGTGACTGTGTTTACTTTGTCAATGACAAAAAGAAAGAGCATCTCGATAAGTTTTTTAATTTCACTTTCAGATATATTGTCACTCAATAACCCGCATTATAGTGAGTGATTGTATCTCATACGTTGTATCCCCCAGTGAACCTCCTATTAAGGATTCTACCGAAACCAGAAGGTCAGCTTCGTGTCTGGAGTTTTTCTTGGTATTGACACAGATGGACGACTTCAAACAATGATCTTTAACAAACGTGATGAATTCAGCGTTTCCATTGTCAAATTCCCAATTCTCAGCCGTAACATACTCTCAACTAACTAGCGAAATGTTTCCACTGTCTTAGATCTTTAGAGTTCAGAATAGCCGTCTAATCTGTAATGTTACAGATTGCTTCCTATTCCAGATCGTGTGACATGTTGACTCCCCTTATATGGCTAAGTTGAAAAGAAACTGAATCGAACAAAAACAAATATTTGTTATTTGTAAAAACAGTCTAAATAATTCAGTAAATAATTTATTTTTCTTTATTTAGAAAAACAATCTTGCACATTAATTATCATTATCGTCCTTTCCTACGCCTATATCCCCTGGTCAGTCGCTCCGTAACACTATTATCACGTCTTTGAAAAGTGAGCAGGCATTATCAGCGACGTCACAATGTCTGAGGAAAAGTTACCAGCGACGACACAATGTGTGATGAAGCGATATCAAGTTTGCTTTCGTCAATCGTAAAACAGTCTAAGGGCGGGGGGAAAGACCAGTACTAGAACGATAAACAGATTATCGGGTTTCTTACGTATAGATATCGTAAAATATCAGCGGCTCGACACAATATGAAACTTTCTAACCCGTTCGCTGCGCTCACTCGCCAAAAAGGTTCACAAAGTGACTTGCGGCTGATATTTTACAATATCAATGTGTAGAAAAACCCGAAAATCTATACTTATTTGGCCCCTGCTACTTGAATAATAATGCAACACTTCAAACTTTCAAAAATTATATTAATTTCAATTAAAAAAATGAATACGATCACATAGTCTAGTCACTTTTGTGCATCACTTGCACGTGTACTATAACTGTGACGTCATAATCCAAAGATGTTAAGCTCACATCAACATCTCTGAATAAGACATATCTTTTTAGTCAAGTCTGATACCTATATTAATAACTATTGACAGAAAAGTAACAGAATGAGGCCGCTTTTGGAGATTATCCGTCAAGCAAAAATGAAATCATACACCACAAGATTCATATTAGAACTGATATCTGACGAATCAATGTCTTGTGAACATTTGAAGCATACACCACAAGATTCATATTAAAACTGATATCTTACAGATCAATGTCTTGTGAACATTTGAAGCATACACCACATGATTCAAATTAAAACTGATATCTTACAGATCAATGTCTTGTGAACATTTGAAGTATATCAGTTTAGAATTTAAGATGACAAAAAGAGACAAGACTATTTCTTTTTCCTTTTATATTAAACATTAAATGCAGAAAACACTAATATTATATTGGAATAAAATAAACCTACATATTTCTCGTCATCTTTCTTAGAAGTATCAACAAGCAGGGAAACAACCCCAACTAGCAGAATAATCCTATCAAATCATAGTATCTATCTTGCTTGATAGCTAATCAATAATGCGATTATTTAAGTTAATATTTTCTAACTGGAAGTTTTTAAAGGAATCATTGAAATAAATTACAAGATTATGATCATGATGATACTTGAACAAATCTTTTGTGACATGAATTTCTGGTGTTTTTGTAATTCTATTGACGTTGTCTAGACATTCATATCAAATCATTTGATCGTTACAACTTCTTCAACATAACAAATATTGTAGCGCTTCAAAGATGTATTATTGATAAAAAAGTAAGGTCCATATAGCTGGAAGGATGGACAGTTAACCCTTTCGAGCTGTCCTTTATAGTGTCATAGAATAAAAAGAAGGAAGTCTTTCATTAGATTTGCTTACTGGTCTTTAGGCTGTTTTTGAATATTTATGCGTTTATAATAATTATTGTAACCATACTTGATCATAAAAGTAAGTAAGAGGTTACAATGGGACAATCAAAATTGTAAGGTGAACATGGATAGGCATCATGGATAAAAAAGGAGAAACAAATCTTATAACAGTACACAAAAAAAAAACACTAAACAGAAGACGAAAAAACTGAAGATTAAGCAACACAAACCCCATAAAAATCGAGGTAGCGTAGGGGAGGGGAACTGCTCTGGAATGGTAAAATTACAATTACCTTAGGTGTATCGTGACATTTTTATAGTATTCGTTTAATCGGTTTATTTTATATGTGTCAAAAACTCACTCGCTGATTCTACATTGACTTATCCTAATTGTTGAATAATAAGTTAATACGTTTCTCGATAACGTTTATGAATGAGTACCAAAAATGGCGGTGATGGGGGAAAAGCAAAGATAAGGAAAAAAGAGAAACCAAATAAGATTTTCATTGTCGCTTTTTTATATGACAAGTTTTGGTATGTTTTTATATCATTGTTGAAGGTCGTACGGTGACCTTTGAATAAGTTGTTTAAATCCTCAATTTTTTGTCTCTATGGACAGTATGTCTCATTGGCAATCATACCACTTCTCCTTTTTTTTATCTATTTAAGTAGAAGTAAATTTATTCACAATATTTCCGTTTTTTTTAAACTGCATAAGAAGTCTTTTTGATTTGAGGATGTATTTGAACTCCTTTCTATACATCAATAGTGATCGTTTTTCCTACTTACATGGTGATTCCGTACTAACACCCCCATCCCCACGTCCCTTACACCAAATGACGCAATGATGATTATGTACTGCGCCCATTTTACATATATTTACTAGATTTTATTCACTTACCACATGGTGAATCTGTGTTAAAGCCTTTTCCTTCATATATACCGACAGTGAGCCTTTCTAAACTGTTATTGTAACTCAATGAGACGAATAATTCTCCTTTATCTGTGGCACTCTGCAACAATAGAAAAAAAACTTCTTACAACTATGTAGAAACAATGTGCTACCTTTTGATGAATTGTTGCACCATAGCAACTTTATTACTGAACAAACAAAAACATATTTGCCTTTGTCGGTTGTTCAAAAACTGTTCAAATGTTGTTTGGAATACATGACATGTCTATTAAATTCGTACTTTGACATTGCATTGTGATGTTTTTTTTACATAGTTGTAAATATGAAAATTAATATGAGTAAAAGGATAGCTGAAGTAAATGTTTAAATGAGATAGCATTCGAATGGCTTCGATAGACATCTAAAAAATGTGTCATAAACAACAGATCACAATTCATATATATGAAAACATCGTCTAGAAGAATAAATCGTCGATTAAAAATATGAAACAACAGTGAATGTTTTTGTTCAAAATGTAATCAAATATAAAAATAAGAAGATGTGGTATGATTGCCAATGAGACAACTCTCAACAAGAGACTAAATGACACAGAAATTAACAACTATAGGTCACCATACGGCCTTCAACAATGAGGAAAGCCCATACCGCATATTCAGCTATAAAAGGCCATGAAATGACAATTGTAAAACAATTCAAACGAGAAAACTAACGGCCTTATTTATGTACAAAATAATGAACGAAAAACAAATATGTTACAAAGCAACAAACGGCAACCACTGAATTACAGGCTCCTGACTTCGGACAGGCACATACAGAATGTGGCGAGGTTAAACTAGTTTGAAGGCGCCAACCCTCCCTTAGCCTGGGACAGTGGTGAAACAGTATCACATAAGAACAAACTATAAAAATCAGTTGAAAAAAGCTTAACTCATCAGATGGATACCTAACAAAAACACAGAGTGGACGTACATATTGTGCCGACCATTCCTAATAAAAATATGATATATATTTTTAGATCTGATAATACACGCATCTTTTCCTGTCTAGACGTCAAGCATGATTGGATTTAAGGAAATGCTGTAGTTAACGTTAATCAACACGTCTATTCTAAAAGATGGACACTAATCTTTAATGAAAAGATCTTAATCTTCAATTGCCTTTTCTGTCGAAGATTGTCGAATGTTTTCAATTGCAGTACTTTCATTTTTTTTTTACAACATCGATATAACACAACTTCGTGTGAATCTTATAGTGTTATATGGCCACTTTTGATAAAAACTGAGATAGCTATATATTTGAGATCCAAGTGCAATGGTCTATCTCTCTATACAAATATAATACGAGATTTCTACTGTACGAGTTTTTGTCAGAACTATACATTGTTCTATCTCCACACTCCCATTGAATTATAATGGCTTATTCATCTAGTTAGTTCAGAGAAAAATATTTTTATGGTGTTGTATCTCCACTATTTCTCATGTAATTTTGATGTTAAATAATTGTTATCAAAATTATCTTAGTAGTACTTTTGTTAAATGGTTTGCATGGTTTGAACTTAATCTATGATCAATTCATAGCAAATCCAGCAGTACAGAATTGGGGATATTACAAAGTTAAAAAAATCCATGGTCTACCTCCAATGGAAATATAGGGATAAATTTCTAAACCTACATTGTTTGTAGTGAGATGTTCTATCTCCGAAAATAGGGGATGCTTTATTTATCTAAGTTGCTTGTCTATTAAAAAAACCAATCGAACAAATAGTTACTCTTGAAGTCTCTTCATGTACGTAAATTCGATTCCTATATAACTTTTTATGTCTCGGTCAAACATTTATGATATTGAGCTTTTAAAGTTTCATTCAAATTTTTACCACTATTACCAAATGGGAAATACATCATTTTTACAGAGGATGACCTTGAGGTCACTCCGATGTATTGCTATCGCCTAAATTTCCATTATGCAAATTAGTTTTGGGATTTCAACCGATCTATAAAAATTATAGATCCGCGGTCATTACAAGGGAAAAAAGTGCATTTTTATACCTGCGATTCCGTTCTCCGTTCGTACGATGTTTCATAAAAAAATGGAATCATTTCAGTTGTTGATTTAGTACTGAAAATTTGACTGAATTATCTCCTTATTAAATACGGTTTTATATGTTTAATAGGTGTTTAAGAAAGAGGTCAGGTGCTCATGTTCATTCATAAAATTATCGTTCATTTATGAATTTATCGTAAAATCAAAATCACTACACAGGTCACACAGGTTGTATACGTAGTCAAAAGATTACCTGTATAGTATCTAAAAATAGACAAACTTAACTGACTCCCCTTACTGTAGTGTGTGATAACATTTTGTGAGGGAATTCGATGTTTGCTATACCACTGTTCATTTCAACGCACTTTATGACGATACCACTTTATCAATATGAATGAAATTTTTTGCAGTGTTTTAAGAAATAATTTTGACTTTAAAATCGCGTATCATTTGTGAACTATTAAATGTTTTACAAGGACGAATTTTCTGTATAAAGTCAATAATTGTGTGAACTTTTGAAGCCCAAACTTTTTATAGCCTTAAATACGCAAATGAAAGATCCGAAAACTATACCCATACAGAACGCCATGTTTTTGAAATTGTAGCAAAACTTTTGGTTGACAAATTTTAATTCGTTATTGCATAAATATTAACTTGAAATATCTGTCATTTTCTCCCTACCCAGTTTACCTCTATTACTCATTATGATGTGGACTTGACATTGTTATTGAATCTTATGCAATTTGATTGGATTAAGTTATTATTAGATTACCTTTAAACTGTTCATGCTTTTTCGTACGAGTATATTGATTAAATCAGAGCGTGCATGAATGTGTACAGAAAATTAAATGACCTGCAAACTGGACACTGGACCAGTCCATATTACGTTTTATCAATGAATAGATTTTTTTTTTATTTCCCAAATTACAGGGCCCATAAAGGGCATAAAATCAGATACAATTGATTTACATAATTGGTAACAACAACAATAATAGCGGCATATAAATAGATATTTAGTATATAAGCATTGGTCAGAATCAGATGAACGAAACTTAAGGTATGAAAGGTAACAATTGCCACTTTTTATCTTTTCACATAATTTTCCACATACACATTAGATAAATTATTTTTGATAGCCTATTGCGGAGAAAAAAGAGAAAGTTTAATGTATTAACGTTCTATTCCATTAAATACGCCATTTTTCGAAGATAAATGCAGAAAAACATTTATGAACGGCTACGCCAGGTAAAATTGTTGTTTATCCTAAAAAAAAAATACAATTTTCAGTTTCATTAGAATATTATAATAATAATAAATCCCAAATTTATGTAGTCATTAGATAAAGTCCGTATATGTCCGATCTGCCTATTTTTGGACATCAAAAGACAATACGACGGTTTAAGGTCAATTTCGTTTACCTCACACAATCTTGTTAGGCACTATAATGAAATGGACCTGAAATTTATTTCACATGTTTCCTGAAAATTGATAAATATCAAAGCAACATAGAGCTGTTTGTTCTAGTTCGTATAATGACAATTTAATGTCATGTTTGTTTGTGATGACCCCCCTTTTCGGGATTGCATCAGAATTATAGTTATCTCGTATCGCATGAGGATGACACATGTCAACTGAGCAATTATGTTTGGGACTTAGTTTTAAGAAATGATGTCAAAGTAACATTATGAAAATATTTTTAGTAAGCTGAAATATATATTTATTTTTTACATGTTTATGTCTTGTAAGATATTTTATTTCTGTCCCGTTTTTCAACATTAGCGTCTGGAAAGTTGAAATGTTTTAACTGAATGGTTAATTTAAATTAATTATGAAAATGGTTAAAATTAAATCAATAAAGGAAATTATTGCCCAGTTACAAACACTACCAGGGGATAATCCATAATGATTTTTTTTTTCAGTTATATGTTTCAGCACATGTATAATTAACCCCAACTTTAGCCTGGTAAACTTGTTGTCTCCTTGTAAAATATAAAACATATTTAAAATGATTTCCTGCTAAAGTCTTATATTGATATAAAGTTAAAACCGTCTTGCTTCTCACTAGTCAACACTCCTGTCCTGTCAGGTTTAATTCTTATATATATGGATGAAAAATAAAAGTCCACAAAACATTAACATGGCAGCAATTGCTTTTACAGCCTTTAAGACTTTGATTTTTTTTTACAGAAGAGAGTCCACCATGCACTTGCATTACACTATAATAATAGTAAAATAGTATGATATACAAATAGATGAAAATTATATATACATGCAACCGTAATATTAATATAATATATAACAACAAACCAGTGTATTCTCTGGAACTATTATTATAATAGTCTAAGGTATACTGATTTGTATCACTACAATATATATAATAGTTATTACGGTGAGGTTGAATTTCCTGTCATTTATTCATCATCCAAGCACGAACTTGTATAAGAAAAAAAATCTCTGTAAATTAACCTCAGTTTCAGGTATTGAGATGTGATCTGTTTCTGTGACATGTGCTTTTGACCGTCCACAAGAACCTGCGGTCATCCGATGTTCAGTACTTCAGTACTTTGATAAAATTCACATGACGATATATCATATATCCTACAGACTTATGTATATTAAGATAGGACTATAATAGTAACCAGTGACTGCGCGAAGAGAACTACTTCAGAAATAAGATTGGACAATAAAAGAAACAGATCAAACTGAAAAGCAAATAAATAAGAAAAAGTTAGAATATCATGTTATTAATCGAACTGTCCTTTCGTCGCTTGAGTTCGGGGACTCAATCACTATCGAGTTCAAACCAAAGACTTTGAATGTTTGTCTTTGCTGCTTCTCTGCCCTGCCAACAACGTTTGAAAGTGAAAGCAAAGACTTGTAAGCTTGGAGTCAAACGAATCTGTCTGATATGTCTTCCTGCTGACTGCTACACTGTGAGATAGAACGCTTAAACAGACTATGAGTGTACAAAGCACGGTATATTCGAATCAAATTAACATGCTCGCGTCCTGAATAGGCATGTTATATTTACCACTGAACGTTTAGAAGTTATCAATTAAT